CGCTGCCGGGGCTACCCCGGCCCGCGCCACAGGCCGTGGCTCTCCAGGGTCCCACGCTGCATTTGCAGCCGGGGCCATGCACGCTGTCCTGCGGAGCAGGCTCCAGCAAGGGGCTTGCGGCTCACATGGGGCGACAGCTCTGTCCCCGTGCACACACCGGCAAGCACTGGGGAGTTAGTCCTTGCATGCAGGGGTCAGCTGGGGGGGCCTCTCTGCCAGGCTCCTGCCGCTCTCGGGAAGGCACCAGCAAGTCGGCCAGCACCACAGCAGCTTTTGTGCACTTCGCTGCCAGGCGCTTCCCTGACGCGCACTGGGAGTTGAAGAGGCCACTGTGCAAATTCACTGGCACTGACCTTAATCCGCTTTGTGTTTCTTTTCTTCCTGGATTTCTTTATAGGGCTTAATCCGCACTCAGCGAGATGTCTTAGTGCAGCTGCTGGATCACGCCGAGCAGCCGGCATTCAGCAAGCTTTCCAATTAACAGCGCATTTCATTCCTGCCTGAGGAATTAGGAGCAATGAATTCATCAGCCTTTATTCCTGCTCCTCCGTGGCTGGCACCCCTGCCTGCACCCAGCACCTGCAGAACACCTCTGGGATGGGCAGCAGGGGGGCTGCATCGCCCCCAGGCTCACGCAGGACGCTCTGGCCCCCACGAGGCACCTTCAACCCGAGCAGCCCTGGCAGCAGGGTGCAAGGGAGAGCCCTCACCTCCCTGGCAATACACTGTCACACTGACCAGCTCCGACCAGAGACAGGTCCCGGAGCTGATCCCAGTGGGGAAAATAAGCCAGAATCACCTGTTTCAATGAGAAATGCAATGGTTGTGGCTCTGACCCTCTCTCCAGAAGTAGCACACACAGTCTTGTGTGCTGGGAGCGAGGCAAGGGCAAAGAAGAGCCAGATGAGTTAATTGCTCGTTACAGTTTTGCTCTTTCCCTCCTCTCCCCCCTCTCTCACCCCCAGACCTCAGAGGCTGTGCACAGCGGTGGCTTTCTGCTCTCCATCCCAGGGCACACGTCAAACCCACGTGTGGGGAAGGGGCTCAGGGCGCACACTTGACTTGCGGGAGGTGATGCCCGAGAAACCCCTTCCCGGGGTGAAGGCTGCGTGGGATCACCCTGTGATCCTGTCCCCTTGCGTCCCCGAGCCCAGGGCCGGCCACAGCCCACACTGGTGGCTGACGCGCTGCCAGGCTGCAGCCCATCAGGGCTGGCAGCTGGTTTCACCCCGGCCCATCTCTGGCCTCTCCCAGGCCATTACAGCATGATGACAGCAATCTTCCCTCCCAGCGCCAATCAACTCATCTCTGTGGCCTTTTCTATTATAAGTGGGGAAAATAAAAAAAGACCCGTGTGCTCCCTTCCCAGCCCACCCTCCCTGCAGATTCAGGGCTCCTCTTTAAAAGTCAACCTCGCTGCCAGCTAATATCATGCATATAATGGATTTGGGCAATTTTCTCAATTAGGAGTTTTAATTATATTATTTCAGCGGCTGCTTGTTCTGGGCAGCTTTTGGCTGCATTTCCTGGGCTGCCATGAAGATGGCAACACAACTTTGTCCTGTTGATCCGAACAGGCGATGGTCAGAGCAATTCCTACCGGAACAGGAGGACCATTAGAAGGGAGCGTGCAGGATAATTGGTGCCAGGGCTGTGAGGGGCTGGGGGGGGGGGGCCACAATCACCTCAGCCTCAGAGCATCGTGTCCTCCCCCAGAAGGGGTGGCTGAGCTTATGTGGACATGCAAGCCCCGAGCCAGAGCACTGTGCAGCCTTCCTCCTCCAGACACGCTGGGGCTGGGAGAGCCCCTGAGCCTCCTGTCCTGGCAGCAGGTAGGGCAGGGCAGCAGGCAGGGGAGCAGGCAGCAGCAGCCTGCAGCTCCCCAGGGGCTGCTCGCTGGGTTCCCCAGCCCCATGGGTTAGCAGCACGACCCACAGCATCACGGTAATTGCACACGTGGAATAAGTTTTCCCCAAGAGGAGGCAGGGAGCCACCGGAGGCAGCAAGGACAGGACAGCATGCGAGAGCAGGCTGGCGCAGGAGCACCAGAGCACAGTCCAGACTAACTCCAGGGTGTTTGCACTTTCCCATTGTTATTGCAATAAAAGAGGGAAAAAAAGAGCATTTCTGGGAGCACGGTAGGAACAGAGAGGGCAGGGAGAGGAGACAAGGGATGATATCCAAAGCCCAGACAGTTTGTGTCCCCCTGCAAGGATCCGTCCCATTCAAAGATCATCCCGGCACAGGGTGTCCCCACCATCACCATCACGCCAGCTCCACTCCCAGAGCCACAGAGTCTTCTCCGAGCTGCAGCTATTCTATGATGCTCTAGCATCATCCTCATCACCTATGTCTTCCTCCAAGAGCTCTTCCTCGTGGGTTTCGTACTTAGCATCATCTTCCACTGAGAAGAGGAGATGCAGGGCTGCAGCGAGAGCGGGTGGCCCTGACCCGCTGAGGGGAGGCAAAACCCCCCCGGCTGCAGACACAGCCAGCAACCCCACCCCACGCTGGGAGTGGGAACAGGGACACCATCCCACCCCGCGGCAGCAAAGGCAGAGCGGAGAGCCGGCAGAGACCACCATGTCGAGCCCACGAATGCAAACAAGCACTAATCCCCCCCGCAGACCAGCAATCCCTCCATCCCCGGGGCGAAGCCGCCCTGTTGAGGGCACCAGCTGCCACTAAAGCCACCGTGGAACCCAGGAGCATCCCCAGTGCAGCCCCCAGCCCACACGCTTGCCCTGGCCCTGCAGCCCGGCGCACTCACGGGTGACATGCTGCCCGCTGAGATAGACTGGTCCAGCTCCACACTTGAGCACAAAGGTGACAGGAGGGACCAGCTCCAGACCTTTGAGGCTGATCTGCAAAGAGTCAGAGCTCAGAGCTCCCCCCCCCCCGAGCCCAGCCCAGGTGGGCAGCAGCCCATGTTAATCCCTGCAGCACCATCACAGGGCAAGCAACTCCTCTGCACCAGGGAGGGGCTTGCAGGCAGTCAGATGGACATGGCCAGAGCGGGAAGGAGCCCCCAGCATTGCCCAGAGCCTCGACCACCAGTGGAGACCAGGCTCCCAGGGTGAAATTTTCACCCCGCAGCCAGGGGCTGCGCCCCAGGTGTTTGGCTGCCCTTACCATGGGGAGCACCGAGGTCCGCAGCGCTGCGATGGGCACCGGCTTGTGGTCTCCATATGTGTTTTTTGAATCAACGGCCACCACGTGCAGCTCATCCCTGGCCTCGGCCCCCAGGCAGATCTGCAGAGTCAAGCAGAGACCCTGTGGCAGGGAGCCCGGCCATCAGCTGGCCCCACTGCTGGGGTACAGGCTTGCTCCGACGAGCTCTTCGGCAAGCCTCAGATCTCACCGTTCTCAGCAGGACCAGGTGCTCCAAGAAGTCATCGTCCTCCTGCACCACGCAGCTCCGGGTGCCTGTGTTCAGCTGGCAGCCTGCAGGGACACAGCATCATCTGTGCACGCATGTGCTGCTCCCCCTGTACAAGCCTCAGGCGAGCCAAAAGCAAAGGGGAGGCCTTCCTGGGTGCACACACCATGAGAAAGGGGGAAACACACCCCATGCACACCCACCCTGGGTGCCTGCAGGGCACAGCCACTGTCCCCCCATTCACTCCTGCCACCAGGTCCCACCAAGCCACCCCAGGGCGTGCAGCTCCATACCCCACAGGGCAGCAACGGGCCTCTCCTCTGACAGCAACCTGGAGAAGGGAGAAGAGCTGCTCATCCTCCACAGCAGATCCAACACTGGCAGCAGGAACCTGCTCCGGTGGAACAAACACCAGAAGAAACAGCGTTCGGCTGCTCTGCAGCAGAAACACACAGAGGAAACATGACTTAGGAGCACTGAGAGCAAACTCTCCAGTCCCAAAAGCCCAGAGCCAGGACAGCATCGTGCAGGCAGCTCACACCAGGATAGCAGCTGGACCAGCCTCCCCTGGGCAGGATAGCATTGCTAAGTGAAGACTAAAACCACCTAGCCACTTAGGCATCCCCTGGGGAAAGAAAAAGCTAGTTAAATGCATTTACAGACAAAACCAGCTCTAAGAGGACGAGCAGCCTCCCTGCAGCAGGGGAGTGCCATAAGTAAAGGTAGTACAGGACAGTCAGTGCATCCTCCCAGCACAGAGCAGTGCTGGCTAACCAGAACAGCTAAAGCCTCGGGGAAGCATTTGGTCCAGAGAGAGCACGTGGAGGCCTCTAAATGCCACACAAGCATCAAGCACTTTGCCAGCATTGGTGTTTAATCCAGCAGCACAACCTAGCACAAGAACTGGGGTGTCAGAGGTGCCCCAGTTTGTGCTGCCCCACAAACAGCAGCAGCCCCGGGGGACCATGTCCCTCCCCACGCACTGCCCAGCAGCCCATACCCAGCCAGGAAGAGCAGCACTGGGAGAGGAAGGAACACCAACATCTGGCACCTGCTGCTAATAAAGAAAAGGGTGACCCTGAGGGAGGTGCAGTTTGGGAATGCAGCACAGGTGCTTCGGGAGGGCGGGTGGCTCCCCCCAGCTGGCACCAATGCACCCACCACCCCCTCCTCATCACGGCACACACCCCAGGAGGACCTACAGCAAACAATTAAGCTTGAAGGCAGAAGCAGCTCCGCTTGAGCAAACTTTAGCTTGATTGGAGACAAGGACGCCAGCCCTGTCAGTGGGACAGGCAGAGACCTGGGGGCCCCCATTCCCTGGGACAGCCCCCCTTCACCCCCTGCCCAGGGTTTGCCTGTGGTTTGGAAAGTTATTCATTGACACGGTGGCTCTTGGGGGGCTAAAGAGCAGCTCCTGGGCTGGTGTTGGACTGTGTCCCCTCAGCGGGTCACTGAGGGTACCCCAGGGACGATGAGGCCATGGGGGGGCTGGGGGACACGCAGGACCTGCTTGTGCTTGGGGTCAGCTGCAGGGATCAGAGACCAGCCCCGCAAGAGCCATCAGAGCCACCAAACCGATGTCTGAAGCTCTAAAATGGAAACAGTTACCGAGAGCTGCATTTTTCTCTTTATTTAGTGATTTCATCCTTGCTGGGTATTGAAAGCAAAATGTGCCAAGGGAGGATCCTGGCAGGGGAAAGCCCTGGCACCCCGGTCCCTGGGGCTGCAGCTGGACCCCACAGGCTCCATGTGGGAGCTGGGACTTCCCCAGCACCAGGAGGTGGCACCTCTGCACGGGCTCCCGGGGAGGGATGAGGTGGCCAGGACAGCTCGGGGGGGGGGGGGCGCCGGGGGGGGGGGGGCGGCCCGCGCTCCGCAGTGCTCCGGGCATTGTCCCGGCACAGGTCTCTGCCTCTCCCAAGCAAATGTTCACACTGGTAGAAAACTCCTGATTTACGGCGGGGTGGAGGTGCCTACTTTCTGGTGCATTCCCAGGCTGGCAAACCCCTGGGGGGCACAAAGCTCCCCTGCCGGGCACAGGACTGGCGGGGGGGGGGGCCGGGCCCGGGGGGGGGGACCCCTGCCTGCCAGGGAGCCCCAGCAGCACCAGGCTCTGCCTGCCCTTTCGGGGTGCGGGGAGATGTGGCAGGGCTGGGGGCTGGCACCGTGGCACACCCAGGGCACAGCTTTTCCCTGCCTGCCCGCTCAGCCAGTCCCTGCCGGCCACAGCCCCGGGAGCCCAGGAGGGGGATGCACCGGGATGCACCCCTGAGCCTCGGGCAGCCCCTCGGGAAGGGCACGTGGAAGAAACATCCCCCTGCTTGGCACAGATTCAAAGGCATCGCAGAGCCGGAGGTTTATTTCACACAGAGGGTGGGGGGAGACAAAACAGGACAAAAACTTTACAGTCACCGTGACATATTTACAACCGACATCATCCCCAAAAGTCGCCAAGCGGCAGTGTGGCATGTGCACAGACACGAACGCGAGCGCCCGTCTGTACACACACCCCGAGCTCTGCTCACACTGCAGCATGCACAGAGGAGCTGGACTGGCCCTGTCGCTGCTTCCCACCACGCTGGCAGCACAAACTGGTTTTAAAGCTAGAGCGAATCACCTCCCTGCCCTCACCCCACTGCCCCACGTACCCAGACCAGCGTGCAGGGGCCTCGGGATGAAAACCACCCTCCTATAACACTCTCCCCACCTGACCCCGCTGCTGCTTCTCCAGCTTCATCTAAACACCCCCCATCCCTGAATGGCACGGAAACATGGACATCTGCCCCAAACGGAGAGGGAGAAACAGGAGGAGATTTGACAAGAGCATAATTCACATTTTTTGCCCAGTCCCCCCTGCTCGGAGCTCCCCTTGCTCCCTTGTGCTTTTCCTTTGCTAAAGGTATTGCTGCGGCTCCCGGGATTGCACCCAGCCCTGGGAATGCAGCGTCTGGGGCAGGGATGGAGTGGAGATCCTGGAAAGGGCTCGTGCCTGCAGGAGGCCCTTCTCCCCTTCCTGATGCACTGTCCAAAACCCAGCCGAGCCCAGGACAACAGGGTCCTTTGGGAGAGCAGAGCCACTGGCCAACGCATCCCGATGCCAGCCACGCCAGGAAGCACCCCCGGGGTGGGAGCTCGTCCCCCATCTGCACGGGGAGCACAGGCATGTCCCCGAGGCTGTGCTGCCTCTTGGTGAGCGGCTCGGGAGCTTTTTCCCAGCTGGCTCCAGCTCTCCAGCACCAACAGCACGGAGGAGCCGGCTGCTCGGGCCCTGCTGTGACCGCAAGCGCTCCCGAGAGAGAGCCCCTCTCCTCTCTGGGTCGGTGCCTGCACTGGAGGGTCCTTCCAGCGCCGTCGCCCCCAGCGCCGCTCCTCCATCTCCTTCGCAATGCCCGGCCCTGCAAGAAGAGGGTGGGATGTGACGCAGCATCACCCAACAGGCTCAACCCTCGCAGCTGCATAGGACAGGGACCCAAAGCAACTGCCCTGGGAGAAAGAGGAGCAGCGTGCACGGAGGGGGATCCAGACTGGAGCTGGGCAAAAAGCACCATGCGTAAGGTCTGGAGCTCCAGCAGCCCGTAAGCCAACGCAGCAGAGGCAGCCGCCCCGATGGGGGTTAAAGCATCCCGGGGCAGGCGGGGAGGTGTCAGCAGACAGCCGGGCTGACGCCAGGCTCACGTGCCCGAAAGCGGGCTGGCCAAAGGCTGCGCTCCCCCAGGGAAGGCAGCGGCCAAAGCGGGCAGAGGAGACGCTGCAAGTGATGATCGCCCCGACCCCGCCGCAGCGCTGGCCGAGGGGGAAGAACACTCACTCTCTTCCCGGCTCTCGGCTGCTCCCAGTCAGGTGGAAGGACCCACTGGTGTCTCTCTGCCGGCAAACCTTGAACAGGAGAGCACAGTGTGTGAAGAGCCCAGACCTTTCCCACGATTTACCATCCTGTGTTCCTAGGAGGGATGAATCCTCAAAACGCGCGACTTCAGGAAACACTTTCTGGCACCTCTTTCTGCACATCTCTGCTGACAGCAGCTCTGCCTGCACGTGCTGGCAGGAACCTCTCCTGCCTTCAGGCATCAGGAGGGGTTTTGGACCAGAGAAAGCCGGTTAAAATCCACAGTAATCAGAATAATTCAAATTTTGTCATACTAATAAAAAACTCAGGGGGAAAAAGAACCACCCTGTAATTTGCAGAAGGAGGTGTTAATCCACGTAAGGGCACAGGCAGGGGGCTGGCAGGGCAGAGCCACAGCACAGGCATCCCTGCCAGCCCCCTGCCCTCACACAGGGCTGCCAGCTCTGGAAAGCCCATCTCCGTCCACAGGGCTGACGGCAGCGAGGGACGGAGAGCGATGAAATAAATTCCCTTCCCAGAATTACACTCTGTCAGAGGGCAAAGCAAACCGCAGAGCCCAGGCTGGTGACAGCAGCCCCCGGCTGCCTCACTGCAGAGGGGCTCCCCACATTTTCCTTCTTTAACAGCAGAAAGTGGGAGTGGGGGGAGAAGGGGAGGAATCCCAGGCTTTGGGACACGTTCGTGTTCGGCTGGTTTGCTTCCCTATTCACCACCAGCATTTTCTTTACCCAGGAACAGCAGACCCCGTCCTGGCGGGCTGGGGTGTTCCCCAGGAAGGGACAAGGCGGGACTGGGCTGGGACCCCAGTTTTGCAGCCCAGTGGAGGGGCCGGGGTTTTAGGGGAACCTAAAGGTAGAGGGCAGCGGTTCCCAGCCCCGCACCCCAGCACCTCTCCCATGCACCCCGGGCACTGCCTGCTCTCCAGCTCTGGGGTCTGCCTGCCCTCCGGCTCTGCATTGCACCGTCAGACCACAGCCCCACCATCGACAGCCCTCCCGGTCACACCCCAAAGGGCTGGTCCCCCGGAGCCCCCCGAGCGAGTGTCTGCGGGTACCTACTCGTCAAGCTGTGAGCACAGCGTGGTCTGGGTGCCCTGCGACTGGGACTCGCCCAGGGGCCGCTGCCGGTGACTGCTGCCCTGGGACAGGCTGGGGTCCCCTGTCCGCGCGGGCAGCCCTCGGGGCAGGCCGTCCCCCCCCCCCCCCCGGGGCCCCCGGGGGCCGCCGCCTTGCTGTCCTCCGAGGGGCCCCCCCGGGGGCTGAAGGCACAGGGGCAGTGCTGCAGGTCCTGCGAGACGGCGTGGAGCCGGCGGTCGGCACGGCGCGGGCAGCAGAGCAGCTTGCGGAAGGCACTCCTGAAGTCGGGGCTGCGGCAGTAGATGATGGGGTTGAAGGCTGAGTTGACGTAGCCCAGCCAGTTGAGGAAGAGGAAGAGCTGATCCGGCACCAGCGGCCGGCAGAAGACCTTGATGATGTTGGCCACAAAGAAGGGCAGCCAGCAGAGCGTA